TGTTTGTAAAATCAGCAATTGAAAAAATTATCAAAATATCAATTAATAAGCATAATAGTGATTGATAATTACTGTCACTTGAAAAATACAAATTGTTTGAAAGTTTAGAATGTCACACCAAAAGTACAAAGGAACAAATTTCTAGAATGTGTTTTCAAAATGAGACTATTATAAGGTTATATTTTATTTCACGTTCTGAAATAAATAAATATATATAAATATATATAAATATATATATATATATAGATATATACATACATACATACATACATGCATGCATTTAAAAAAAAATGTAGTTTTTTAAGAAACATATTAAAATGAACATCAACAACATAGAAGAAGATTATTATTATTATTAATTTGGCATTGAGCTAATTACACTTTTTTCTTATGAAACAAGTTTTTGCAAGAGGTCAATGCTTTGCAAACATTGTTAATTTTTGTGTGCACATGTAATACTGAACAATGAATGATTTATTCAAAGATATTTATTTTTAAATTTCAGTTATTCATAATTGTGTTCATAAAAGTAAATTTCCAAAATATAGCATTTAATTTGTGGTTTTAGAAAATTTTCAGTGAACTTGAAAAATTATAGTACTTTGTACCCATATATATATATATATATATATATATATAATAAAATATTTATAATTTTTATCCGTTAGATAGAATCTGTTGTCAACAGTTTGTAGGAGAGATGTTTTCATTCATAATTTTATCATGTTTTTTATAATTTCCAAAACAGTTAATATAACAGTAATAACATACAATTATCTTTAAAAATTAAACACTAAAGAATTAATTAAGCACCACAATAGCCACCAACATATACTTTTTAGCAATTTAGTAAAATTATGTCTTTTTCTATCATTTAATATAGATAATTTATATGCTTGGAATAATAAAAATTAAATCGAATCAAATCAAATCTCTTGTTGGTATGTTATATATTAGTAGATCAAACTTATTATGTACACTGAGTAACACATTTGAATTGATTTGCAAAAGAGACTCTTTCATTTTTTTAATTCATTACCATGAAATGCATGTGTGTGTGTGTGTAAATATAAATAGGAATTAATCGATTTTTAATACGAGATAAAACATTTATCCCAAATCATTATTTTCAAAGATAAATGAATTAAACGTAATAAAAGAATATATTTTAACTTGTCTCAACAGCAAAAATAAGAAGAAAAAACAAACTTACTGACCACAAAAGTAATCTAATTTTACTGAAACTTGAAAGTGTAATAAGTTGGGCTTATTTCAAAATATTACATTATAAAATAATATGTATTTTGATGAGAACTCTGTAGTTTTATTTATTGCATGTACATAATGATAAGTGTGGTTACTATTACAAATTTTGTATTTACTAAGCCTCAAATAACACAATGCGAAAAGCAAAGAAAAAATTTCATCATAGAATAATATATTGCATGCACGAGCATGACATTCAGGATTAATGTTTAATGACTAATACAGTAATTTAAATTAACATCCCATTTCAATTATATCAACTTCTTAAAACTTTGGTTTCTGGCCCAGTCATAAAATTTTCATGCACATATTTAACAGTATTGCATCATTGTAAAGTTGAAAACTTTCAAAGATGGAATTTGAAAAGTTTTAGAAACTTTTTAAAAAACAAATGATGATGTGTTTGCATTTTGATATTATCTGGCTGATGGTTTAATTTAAGAAATACAATTACATTACTACTTTTGGGTTTAAAAAAAAAAGAAAAAAAAGAAAAAAAAAACGAAAATACATTTAGCATTGTGTCATATGTATTTGAGAATTTATGTTTATTTTGCAACACATCTTCTAGAGCATCTGTAGGACATGTTATGGACACAAAACACTTGTTTGTTTGTTTTGTTTTGTTTGTTTATTTTTTTATTCTTGCTTTTAACATGCTCAACTACTTTAAAGCTGTGTGGTTATGCTTTATCATAACATATGAATCTTAGGTTTTTGCTATTTTTCATCACACTACATTTGTTTTTTTGAAGACTGAACAACAACAATGAAGTAGAATGTTTTTCATGTGTTGTATGACAATATTGAACACATTCAATGAACCCAACACTGTGCATTGAACCTGGTCACTTCTTTATTTAACATGTTTAATAATATATATATATATACATATATTATTAAACATGTACAATATATATATATATATATATATATATATATAGTGGGCTTTTTCTAAAAAATTGAATTGAGATAGAAGTAAAGTTGAAGTATACATGTTTAAATTTTCAATAGAAAATTCCAAATGAAATGAGAAATTTGTGTTCAAGTGAGAGTGTAAGAAAAACCATATCTCTAACTATTTGCATACTTACATGCACATGGCTTTTTATCATTGTATTAACTAAAAATCAAATTCAATTGAAATGTCTGTTTTTATTTTATTTTATTTCATTTCTTACACATATATTTAAAAGTAAGTGAATAAATAAAGACATATACACTGTTAATGGCCACAAAAGTCATGGTATTATTTTGCTTATGACATGAAGTCTGATGTAATGTGTTCGATTAAAAAAGACATGTATATATATTAAAAAAATATATATCTTAAGAGATGTCACATTTTGGAAACATTCCATTGACCCTCTCAAAGAAACCAACTAGCACAAATTACAAGACCAACAAGAACCCATCATTTGGCTAGACTTTCACACCCTATCCATTCAATATATGAATATATAAATATGTATATATATTAAAAATCAAGAATAGCAAAGATAGTCAAGTTGTCATGACAAATATGAATGCTTGTAGCTCTTTCCAACCATTATTTTTGTATGAAGTCAAAGTGCACCAAGCAAGAATGGGAGAATAGAAGAAACTAGAGACAAAAAGATGTTAACCGAAGATTCCCCTCCACAAAAGTACCACTTTACTCCAAAATTCTCCAACTCCTTTTATATATATATATATATATATATATATTGAATACTACATTTGGTGGTTGTCATCTCCCTTCTTGTATTTTGCAATCTCCCTTTCACCTTCAACTAAGATTAAATCTTTTTGCCTATGTTATGCACCCTCAAAGAAGTAAAAGATATAGCAATAGAACAAGTGGATAAGATTAGCATACAAAAGCTTGTTGTTTAAATAGTTAATGAAAAGAATAAGCTTTACTCCATGCATGGGATCAAGAAATATCTTCCATCTAAAACGGATGATAAACACACGGATATATACTTCGCATCCATTTTCATCCATCCATAAAGTCATCCATCCAACAAAGGCTAAGCGTGGACTTGAGTAAACACACACGCTTGAAGGTGGTGGAGGGGGGGAGAGAGAGAGAGAGAGAGAGAGAGAGAATTCCAAACCCTAAATCTGGAGATGAGGGGGTCCTCTTGAATGGCACAACGTGGGGGGGAGAAAGAGACAAATGGAGATCACGTTCCCACCTACTTCTACCCCAGTGCCCGTGGTCAGAGAAAAATGAAAAAAAGAAGAGGAAAATGGCGCCACATGGATGCCACGTCAGCTATGGCCACTTCGGGGCCGCGTCAGCACCTTATGATGAAGAATCTGACGAGAATATTCCATAATTGGTGCTCCCATGTGGGCCTTGCTTTTCCCATCCACTAGAGTCCCGTTCCCTTTCAAGATATCGTGACCCCGTGCCACAGCGAACGAACGAAAAACGATGGAAACGGACGTAACATATGGGAACGTGAGGGAACGGGAGGCGAACGGGGTAATAGGCTCTGCAGTGCTGGAAAGAAGGGAGGGCGGATTTAGGGTTTACTTCAGGGGATGAATGAATGGATGAATAAATGGATGAATGAATGAACGAGTGAATGCGCTTGTAGGGAGGGTCAAGTGGGGGATGCAAGTGGGCTGGGTTCCGCATTCTATTCCACAATTAGGGTTTCACACTGCCCCCACACCCCCGTGAGAATAATCACAATCCCCCCTCTGAACTCTTTGGGTTTTGTTATATACATAAAATTTATTCTCAAGTAATGCTGGAATCCTGCTCCACACACACGAGTACAGTCAAAAGCAATGCTGGAATTGTGGTTACAATTCTCACGGATCCAACGGGATGTAATAGCAGCCTTACATAATGTATGTAGATTGTAATAGGCTCTTGGTTACACAAGGTAATTAAAAGGAATTCTACAGTACCACAAATCTATTCGATAATACACAGAAAGTGCATCGGATTGAGAAGTAAAAGTAGATACTTCACATTGTACTCTTTACTCCGCCCCCTTGCGTATTAGGTGTTAAGTTGTGTGTTGTAACTCTTTTACTTCATCCATGCATCAGGTAAACCCTATTTTGTGTATATATTTATATGTATATATTCATAGATTGCATAAATTTTGTGTGAAAAATGGTGAAGACGTGGATGTTTTTATTCAAACAGAAATTGCGTGATAAAGCCTTAAACCTGCTGCAAAAGGTATGATCAGTAAAGAGTGTTGGAGTTTCATTCTGACCAACAGTTGAGAAGAAAAATACAAAAAGTAAAAAAATGTAGTAGACTCGGCAAACAAAAAACGGAGTTGAATAAGCAGCATAACGTAGCATGTGGAGAAAGTGAAATACTTTTGCATGGTGGATGATGCCTCGGGCGATGGCTGCGGGTGTGACGACGCGGAGAACGCAGACAGTGGGCGCCGTCGTCGCGTTGTCATAGATTGATGGTTACAGGAAAACACAGGGGAAGTTAGAGATAGAGTGAGCACAGTGACAACAAGAGTGGGAGGAACCGCGGCCAACACGGAATCGCTCGGAGCTGCAGGTCCGACCGCCAGTTGCAGATGGGGTACAATCGGTGTGGAAACTAAAGCATGTAGCTGCAAGGACATGCATTATTTATAGAGAGAGAAAGATAGAGAGAGATTCACATGTATTAAAAAAGTCACGTGTTGTCACAGAAGATGAGGTCGAGTGATTGTTACACACTTTTTGTCAGTGGTAAAATGGTAAAAGGACGAATCTTCCCGGGTAGTGGGTGAGTGTGCGTTGAAAACAGTCGCCGAGTCGCAGACCACAGCTTGGTTCTGTGCTTCGACTTTTCTTGGTATTGAGCCTACTCCCAATTTGGAGGTGTTGTGGTTTTCTGGGTTGAGTCGGAGGAGTGGTTGCTAGAGAATGTGTCAGTGAGAATGACGACATGAGCTCCGAGCTTAGACGTGGGTTGAGGCCGAAGAGAAGGAGTGGGTGAGCGAGAGAGAGAGATAGGGAGTGGCGTTGAGAGGGCGTGTTTGAGACTGGGGTTTGTTGTTGTGGCGATGGGGAGCATGCGCGCGGTTGCAAGGAGGCATGAGTTTGCGAATGTTGCAGTAGCAGTGCTGCTCTGCGCCTTGCTTGTGCACGGTGCCGGTGCCGACAGTTCCCCTTGGTATGTGGATGCGGCCTTGAGGGCTGATGCGGACGCGCTGCTGCAGTTCAAGGAGGGGTTGCAGGATCCGAACGGCGTGTTGCGAAGCTGGAATTATCTGCAGACTCCGTGTTCATGGCTCGGGGTGGAGTGTGCCCGCGTGGGGACCGACCACGTTACCCGCGTGGTAGGGTTGGAGCTCAAGGAGGCCAAGCTGAAGGGCCACATCTCGTTCAAGCTTGGGGATCTTTCCGAGCTCGAAGTGTTGAATTTGATGGGCAACGAGCTCGAAGGCTTCATTCCGGTTGAGCTGGGCAATTGCAGGCGACTCATGTTGTTGGATCTGCGAAAGAATGACTTGGTTGGGTCCCTCCCTCCCGGTATCCTCACCCTCTTGCCCAATTTGTTGGAGTTGTCTGTCTCCGGAAACAAGCTTTCCGGTCGTCTCGACCGCTTGATCGAGTTGCATCTGGCTCCCGAGAACGCTCCATGTGATCATTTGAAGCTCTTGGACTTGTCGCACAATCGTCTCACGGGCAGCTTGCCGAGGCAGTTGCACGAGTGCTCGCAACTTGTGGAAGTTTATCTTGGTTCCAACCTTCTTGTCGGTGGCATTCCGGCTGAGTATGGGAGACTTGTCAATCTTGAAGTTCTGGAGGTCCAGAACAATATTTTGGATAGACAACTTCCTCAAGAGCTGAAGAGCTGCACGAAGCTGCGGACTTTCAATATGGCCGACAATTTCATAGTGGGTGAAATTCCGTCGTCTTTCGCGGAGCTTCGAGAGCTCCGAGAATTTGATGTAGCGAGAAATAGGTTGTCTGGGCACATCCCCCAAGGCAGGTGGGTGCGTGAAGCTCCCAAGTTTCGTGGGAACGACGGCTTGTGCGGTTCACCTTTACTGACTTGCAAAGATGAAGACGTTCTTCAGGAGTTCAAATCCCACGTGAACAGTCTTTTTTTCAAGGGGGGCGAATTTGTCCGAGGCAGTGTCAGCAAGTATTTTGAAAACACCTCTCAGCCACGAACGCAAGTTGGGGTGCGAAGGTCCTTGAAAGCTGCATCAAAGAACCGCCGCAGCAAAGGCGCCCGATGGGGGCTTGGAATTGCGGCAGGATTAGTCACTGGGGCGGTAGCCGCTGTCCTTCTCGCACTCATAATACGCGTTGTGGTGGCGTTTGCTTCGGGCACTGAGAATCTCAAGAAGCCCATAATCTTCGATAAGAAAATCACGCCCCACATGCTTGCTTTCCTCGACAAGGAGGACGCATTAGCTGGCTGCCGTCTCCTTGGTGCAGGAGGAAACGGGAAGGTATACCAAGTTCCTCTCCAGGATGATCTCGTCGTGGCAATAAAATGTGTCCGCATCGCCTCGGACGAAGCTGAAGAGGGTTCAGACTCCAGCCATGACGCGAAGCAGATTCGTGCAGAGCTCGAAACCCTAGGCTTCATCCGCCACCGAAATTTGGTACGATTGTTGGCATACATCTTCAAGGAGGACTCTCACTTGTTGGTGTACGAGTACATGCCAGGGGGAAGTCTGCAAGATGCGCTGCACCGGGTAGCTACTGGTAACTTGACACTGTCATGGCCTGAACGCCATCGCATCTTATGCGGTGTTGCTCAAGGGCTTGCGTATCTCCACAATGAGTCTCTCGGCAGCTCCATCGTGCACCGTGACTTGAAACCCGCCAATATCTTGCTGGACGAAGGATACGAAGCAAAGCTCGGTGACTTCGGCCTGGCAGCTGTCGTCCCCCTGAAGGCCACTCACGCCACCACTGAAGTGCTTGCTGGCACCATCGGATTCATTGCACCAGAATATCATCAAACGATGAGGTAAGTTGAGATCAATCATACGCTGCACATTTCCTTGTTCTTGTCACTGCTTGCAACCTTCAATTCCAGCAGAGTTGAGATGCATGCGCACATAGTCTGACGCGGTGTACCATGTCTGAATCCAGGTACTCGCAAAAGAGTGACGTGTTTAGCTTCGGTGTCGTGATTGCCCAACTCGTCACAGCTCGTAACCCAACCGACCAATTCGTCGTGGAGAATGGCGGTAGTATTGGCCAATGGCTCCACAAGTGTCTCCAATCGAGCAATGGAGTCGAAGCAATCGATCCCGCCTTGCAGGCGTCAGGGTACGAGACCGAGATTCTCTTGGCTATGAAGATTGCCGTCTTCTGCACACACGTTGACCCTCAGCAACGCCCCAAGAGCATTGAAGTGCTGAAAATGCTCTTGCAGATCCGAAATCCCGACCCTGTTCCCGCAGAACGTAACTTAAGTCCCGACATTGTCGAGAGTGACGTTATGACCCTCCCATCTAGTGATTCTCTAAGATTTCCAGTATCCGGAGCAACGTCCCTGACTAGCAGCTATTAATCAGTCACATCAACACTTGGATCGCCTGTGAAGTGTATCCATGAGTATGTCGCATAACGTTTAATCTCGTGCAACGCATTTTTTTCCTGGAGTTGTCACACGCAGCGAGGTGTAATTAGTGAATTGATCAGCGTCTTATGTAAGTCGACGCAATCATCTAGCACCCTTTTTGTGCATCACAAACCCTAAGTGAGGCTCTCTTCTCTGCCGCAGACAGAAGCTTAATCTGGTGCAATATTACTTATTCGCGCACCAGCGAAAGTAGAATAGTTTATGCTAATCTGAAGCAGTTATAAATATTTCCATATGATGTACGAGGATACAGTAAACGTGCATCTGATATATAGACATTACAATAGAGAGTGGGAAAAAAATGAGTACTATTCTGTGTCCGACAATTTCTGCAGCATACATTTTACCATTTTAGAAAATTAAATTATTGAAAACATGGAAATTTGAATCCGCTGCAGACATCGGTACGATATAACTAAATTAACCTTAAAATTAATTGCCCTTTGAAAAAGACGTTATCCAACCTCTTGTTGGTAAGTGACCGCATGCTACTAACCCCTGATAAGTTCAACAAAAAATCTGGCTGCACTATATCTTGTGGGTTCCATAATGTTCACATTAAGCAACTAATGATCATACAGTACACCAGGTGCCTATAATTCAGGCCTAGGCTAACTGCAGATCTCTCTAGTTTTACTGCGATTGATGAAAAGAGGCACTAACGGAGAAGCACGTTTTCTTAAGCATATCTACCAGAGGAAATGCCTCTGCACTATTCCCCTCCTTTCCATCCTGGAATGCTTGCGGTGGCTTCATTCACCATTTTGACCAATGTGACCTGCATTCACCAATCGCTAGGTCACTATAGGAAATGCAAACCCTGCAATTGATTAAAACGGCTGATGACTTTATGGACAGACCATGAAATGCTTCATTGCAGCTTTAATGGTTAAGGTACATTTGAGATTCACGCCTGTTTTGTGCACGTACATAACTATAACCAAAATCAGTTATTGTTCAGTTCAGAGTATGCTATATTGAAATCTACAAACTCAAAACTCTTTTGAAGTCTACATAAGTGCAAATATTTAAAACAAACTAGTATTGAAAAAAATTCATTTGAAGAATATTTTTGTGATATTGATACGAATACTTCTCGTCAATAATACTATCTTTCAAGTATTAAAAATAAAAATTGAACTTGTGATAAATATTCAAATGTGAGTCTTTAACAAAATTAAGATTTTTTTTTTTTTGATAAAATAAACTTAAATTTAAAACTAGATGTCGTTAATATGCACATGTATATAAGAAGATTCATATCACAGCGCATTTAAGATTTTCCTAGGATTAGGACACCTCGACCGTTAATGGGTTAAGTAAGCAATTTAGAAACCAAAATTCTGCAGTTGTTAGTACTAACTGCTGCTCACGTTTAAGGAAAACAAGTGGCGAACTTACCACTGTCTCTGGTACACCTGGAGGAGGCAGCGTCAGGTTCTTAGGTGGAGCTCCTGTAGTGAAAGAACGTTTGTCAAATCGCCATTCTCCAATTTTGCCGTACGTCAACTTCCCCTGAGAAATAAAACATGGCGATGAGCATGTGTTAACGCCAGTCGCCACTTGATAAAGAGCAGTAAAGAGAACACAATCTCTGGTATCAGAAGACTAAGATACTTAAATGTCAAGGTGACAGTAATTCAAACCTGCATGTTGTAATCACATCCATATGTGTAATGAATAATGTATTTGTTTCCAAGGTCGGTATCCCAAGGTGGCTGCAAGAAAAAAAACGATGGTAAGTGCTGGCCGGCGTCATTAACAGACGCGAGAGTCAAACTTGTCCTATTTTTCAGGAACAAAGAGATATTGACACAACCAGCTAAATGATATCTTGCAAATCCAGCTCACAAAGTAGAAAGAGAGGACATCATATGAAAACCAATGCACCTGTAGCATGAAATCTTTCACCAACATATGTCTAATCCCGTGTAAAGCTGAAGCCGTTGCGTATCCGTACCTGCTCATACAATGCACATCCTCCAAATTAGCCAAAGCACAGCAAAGAGGCGACAAACAATGTACTAGGCTAACTACCAGACAGAAACTTGCGCAGACTACCAAGGTTGAAATTTCACGCACATTTCCAGAACCCAACCAAATGCTTTGTCAGTTTCTGGGTCATCTTTCATCTTGATGGACACGTCAGACCATGTTGGAGCTATCTTCTCTAGTTGACTCTGCATTTATCAACAACACACTTAGAGTTCACATAATATGGAAATACAGTTCCTAAGTATTCAAAAGAAGCAAGTTCAGTAATCCACATCGCTTAACGGTTTAGACAGTGGGTCTTTGATAAAAACGTCGTACCTTCTTAATAATGACTGGAGAATTGCCTATGGGATCGATGTTGGCAATCGGTCCCTTCTCATTCGGAAAGAATTTCCTTAAAACTTTTTCATTTTCCGTAGGAACAATGTAAAAGAACTTGAAGGCAGCCGGCATTTCTTCCGTAGCTAAGTTTGGAAGCGGCCGTATGAATATATGATCTGGTTCTGCCATCAGGATATAACTGACCCCCGACCGTGTCCCCATGAGTGATGAGATTAAAAACGTAATTTTTTACTTTCGATCCCCGCAAAGAAACCAAGACTAATATCAAAATGTATTAGATCCATAAGCAAGCAGCTATATTCGCAACAGTACACTACACTGTAAAGGATACTCACAGCGATCTAAAACCTAAGCTAAAGTAACACAAGCAGGTGATAAAGTCAATGATTGTTCCGTTCAACTGCAACTCAAAATGGCTCCCTAAAGAATAGCCAATGCACATGCACACGCGCACACACCCACCGACACACTAATCACATGCACACCAACATAATTTGGAATAAGATTCATACTCCTCAGGTATGTCTGCCTTTCGCAACCACTGCACGAAAGCCCATGGTCGATTCAAAACAATGTATCCCTGGACACTCAACCAACACATAAGTTAAGACTCTTCAGGACCCCACCGAGTCTACAAACTTATATAAAAACTTTTGATATCCAGAGGAAAAATGATGTCCCTGTCAATAACACTCGCGTTGCTTTGGTGATTGCATTGGCGGAGGCTACCATACTTGGGCAGATTACACTTCGTGAAGCGGTCCAGCAAGTTGCTTTCATGAAATCTCACCGACTAGAACATCCTGAACTCAATTTTTATAAATTTATACAAAAAAATCCCTGCAATCAGCGTAGAGGTTGCTTCGGAATTTGAAGATTACGCCAGTAAATTCTTTTTGAGATGATGTCATTCGTTTTGTAACCTACGGAAAAAGAAAAAAAAAAAAAACAAAAAAAAAAAAAAAACACAAAAACACAAAAACAAAAAACAAACAAAGTACCATGAGAGAGAATTATACCCGATCCTCGCCATCCGGCAAAGGGTCCACGACAACGGTTGGAATTTCGTCCATGAAATTGTCAGCCTTCCCTGAATGCAAGATGCGAGTGAAGCCGCCCATCTCCGACCCAGGTGCGTCCTTGAACTTCTTGTACCAATAGTACATGATCCGGCACTGCCAACGGTTGTAGGGGGAATCATTAGCTGTCACAGCAACGTGAAACAACCGCTTAGGACCGTTCCGTTTCATGTCCTTCGGCATTCTGATTAGCGGATCGAACGCAAACTGGTTGTCGTCGTCCTCCTCCCCAGCCCTAGAGTCTATAAGGTCACTCCGGTTGTGGTAGCTGTTGATCATAGTGATCGTATTGTACGTAACCACCATTGCCGCCAGAGCCAGAAACACCAACACTGGAAACGTAATCCGCGCCATCTCACCAATTTCACCTTACAGCAGACCCCTTCTCCCCGATCACCACTTTCTTGGCAGCGCCACAAACCCTATTCTCTCTCCAAAATCTTCACCACCACCACTACCACCCATCACCACCCCCGGTCCTTCATGTCCCCCACGAGTCTACATACAAGATCTACGCAGACCCCTCCCACCATTCCAAACCCACCCCAACCCCAACCTCCCAATCTCACCTCAAAACCCTGGCCCATCCAAAACTCTCCATCCCGCGACTCTCGATTCCACCTTCTAGACCCTAACGCCTGCAGTCAAGCAAGCAACCTACCCCACTATCGTCAGCCTAGCACCTGACATCCAACTTACACCACATTCACTCCCCAGCACGCATTCCTACCGACACTCTGGCAACTTCCCGTGCCCTTAGCTTGCCAGTGACTAGGGCCACGACACTGCTTCCCTCCAGTCCCACTAACGCAAGCGTGGCAGTGAGTCCAATGCCACCTCCAACGCACTGCACGCAACAGACAATCGAGCTCGATAGATCTCTTCGCGCTCTAGGCACAAGCATAGAAGCGGGCCTCGACTTGCACCTGGGGGAGAGGGAGGGGGGGTCTCCTCGGGACTCACCCTGGCTGCCAAGCCAAATCGAGCCAAGCCGCAGAAAACGAAGGAGGTGGAGGAGGAGGACTGTAGTAGAGCTAGACGCTCTGCTCTTGCCGCTACCGCCGCTTCTGCAACTCCTGAAAACGGTTTGACTGGCGAGACAGAGAGTGATTCCGTCGGACCCCAAATCTCAATTCTCTCTCTCCGTGAAATGATGTTAGTGTGAAGATCAACACGTCACTGTTGAAGTAGTTGCGGGGACCTCCAGGCGCGTTTCACGCGCACTTGTGTAGGCGACATCGGGGTGAGGAGGACGAGGAAGAAGAGAAAGAAGAGAAGGAGCAACAGCAGCAGCACGAAGGGGGAGAAACGAAAAGAAAAAGAAATAAAGCGAAAAGTAAATCCACGCCTATGCAAAAGAAATTGCAGCAGCAAAAGAAGAAGGCCACCGGAAAGATGGTGATGATGAGATGATTAGTAAAAAGTAAAAGTTAAAGAGAGCGCGAGTAAAGGCCTTGCCTCACGCAGGGTATGGAAGCCGTTCACCGTGTTTGCCACCGCATGCTTCATTCGAACGAATGATTGAGTGACGAACCATAATTCATTCATCCGTGTGCCGATTGTTCTAAAGGAGGTTTGGTAATATTTACTTTTTTGGTGTATTTTTCCTTTTAGACTGTTTCTTTCCTCTTTCCTCTTTTCCCTAGTTGGTTGGTTTTGGTGAATATGTTGTATTTGATTTCTCAGAAACCTCACTTCTATATTTTATAAAGTCGAAACTTTATTTTTCATGTTTTTTTTTGCATTGGTTTGTGATTAACATGTTTAATTATCATTTAAATGTTTTAAAGGCTTTTAGCTGGTCTTTGTTCTCATCCTATGATTACCCAATAAGTTTCTTTATCTTGAAAATGAAATACATCCTCCGATTTTTTTGGAATCATGTTGTAGAGTTTAACTTTGCTAGTTGCCATAAAATAATTGATTTGTTAAATTTAGAGGTATTGAAATATATCTATGCTCTTATAGAAAGATCCCTCATATATGTTACATGATATGAGTTTATTTGAAGCTACGTACTAATATTTAGTATGTGCCATATACTATACTATATTTGTTAACTGACGAAACGTAACTATTTAACAATTTAACGTTGTGTTGACAACAGTGACAATACTATTGTAAGAATTCAACGCTTAGATAATATTAGTGTTAACGAGTTTCCTGATTTATCATAACAATTAAAAATAAAAAGCGAATATCCCTCTTCATTCTTATTTTATTGTGTACAAATATCTGTTTGGGATCACACATTCTCATTACCATGTACCAAAATAGAAAATAGCGACCAAGGTTGAAAACAATCCCCTGTGAACGTTCACGATGCTCTGCATATTACCATGTACCAAAAAAGAAACCAAGATTCATAACTACACACCTTCAATTACTGTTGCCATGACTTTTAGTACAATTATTTAGTGTAATTGGCATAACTTGAAGACTTTGTTTCATTGGGGATTCGCCCTTTTGAAAAAAAAAAAGTAGGGTATTTTTGTTTATTCCACTACTTAAACAGTTAAGTAGAAATAAATCGGTTTCCTGATCTATACTCATTACTAGTCATGCTCCAAAAGCTTATTTTTGTGGTAGTTTTAAGGTGATGCTTAGCACACTGGAGAGGCCGTGAAAACCATTCTAGTGCCCCCAGATCAGGCAGGCACAGTAAAAGGGAACCCATGATATGGACATGCAAGGTTTGAAGGAAGCTCAACTACCAACTCACAACTCACCACCTCCACTCAAAGCAGCAACATGTGTGTGATCCCATACCCTAAACACTATTTGCCACCACACACAATTAGCCTGTATTGGAAGTTGGAAAGTTTGTGCTCAGCAACAGCATGTCGAAACCCCTAAGAGGTGAGGAATTGTGCCGACTGTTCCATCGTAGTCGAGCACTTTCATTGGGAAAAAGGAAAAAGGAAAAAGGAAAAAAAATAAAAAATAAAAAATGAAGCAGGTTGATTGCAACCAAGCAAGCAATCATCGTAATTGAATTCAGTTGATTGCTTTTCAGTTGATGTTGAGTACGCAGAAAGGTGTCACATTCATTATTGGGAGAGGATCTAACGTAAGGAAGTGTATTTAATGAACACTGCGTGCATTAAATCCAGTTCTCACATTTGACCCCGTCTGTGGCAAATTGAATACATCTGGAACATAGATACCACATCCAGCATTGAAAGTTGTATCCAAGTTTTGTCATGGAGGGCGGAATTGGAGTGATCTCTACGGAGCTATGCTTAGCAATGCTGTGACACATGGTGGGTAGGTCCAGAATTCCATACCGTATAACCTACTACAGCTGTGTTTCACCCGCATCTGAACTACCCACCAATTGGAGCAGCGCTTATCATTGAAAGTTCGTGAAGTCCCTGATTAACTATCACCTTCGAAAGCGGATTTCTGCAGGTTATAATATATCATCTTTCTTAGTGGATGGTTTCTACGGGTTTAAAGCGTAGGAATGATAAGAGAAGCTCAAAGAATTGCAGAGCCTAACCTGAGAGATAGCTTTGGAGACGATCTTCAAATTCGTTTCTTCCTCAATATCAGTCGAAGTGGAGAAAGAACTGTTCTTTTGCACTCACAGTCAATATAAATGAAAATCGAACATTGTTTTTACGGAGCGCCAGGATGTTCACAAATTGACCATTGGAATAAAGACACAGTTGGCATAGAAGTCTTCAATTGGTTGGAAAAAACAAAAAGAAGTACATAGCAAAACAAAATAAAAGCCGAAGGTTCAGATGCTTCTGATGAGAAGTCCATCAGCTTTCAACGAAACATTCATCCCTGCATTATACTGGAGCTACCCCTAATATTGCTTGTGATTAAGAAAAGTGGTAGATACAACAACACTACAAGGCCGCTTTTGGAAACATCTCTAATTTGCGACATAATCACAATCTTCAAACCCTCTCCTGTTCTCCATTACATTAAAGGGGTTATCAAGAGACGGCACTTCACTAGATGAAGTTCCTTCCTTCACATCCACTCTTACAGCATTTAACACTGAAACTCCATGCAGCATGTACTCTACAATCACGATTCACACGACACTGAGGCACCAGGACACTTCCACGTGAACAGCTATCAGAGTACCTTGACCTGCAAGGAATATCATGTACAGAATAACATTTCCGTAGCTGTAACAATCCACATAGAGCTTACCTAGTGGAGAAGGAACCCCCTACCACTGATATTATATGACATGTTGCACCCACCTTCCTTTAGTCATAGGAACTGTCGGCAAGGATAATTTCTGAGAAGAAAAAGTTGTTCAGAGTTTGCAAGCTACACTACCTCGTAAAATTTGGTCAAAGAGAAGAATGCGTGAACACCATATCCAGAACCCTCATCTAAGAACACTAAAGCTGTTTCGAAATATAAAGCTATTATTGATTTAAAACAATTCGACCACAAGATTACATTTGCTAGTTACAATCTCTATTGTTATACATTCTAAGCATCGAAGAACGACGCTTGTGTTAAGAGCAGCTCAACTCGGATCGTACGGAGAACATTAAGTAATTCCTCACTGCAGAAATAAAATTAGATAAATCAAATTGCGACATCGATCCAACAGAAATGGATCCAAAAGAGATGAAGGTGCAATATCATACAGTAAATCATCACACCCAATGTTACAGAGATGCTGCTTTAAGTGCATGGTTGGTATATTCTGATTAAACAAGAGTCAAATTGTGCGCAAAGAGGACGTCGTAAGGGTCTTTAACGGGCTCTGCGAACAGGAGCACAGTACTTAAGCTGCCTTGCAATCCCCCAGTATTATCATTTGCCATCAGAAATGTACTAAAGACTATTTTTAAATTGTTGGGACAAAAATCGTGATGTACTGATGTCCGGCCACAGAAGGGTCCATCTCTTCAATGCCCTTCCGTTGCTTCCTGAGAAGCTCATCTTACAGCAGCATGGAACACTGCAACTAATTAGGAGAAGCCTTCTTTGCAGCACGACCTGACTTAATCGTGGAAACCAACAAATCCCCTGCCGGACCAAGACCTTTTCGACCCACTAACTTCACCCCAAAATTAAGACAAAGGTGCTGTAGCCTTTCATTATCATTATCCAATCTACTCAAATCCAAAGCCTGTTGACGAGTAATGGTAGTATACAAGAACAATTGCTCTGGAACAAAGATTTCAGTTGTCCCCTCTACAGATACATTGGTACTCTTCCCAGGAGAAATCATATGCACTCGCAAAATCGCCAGCGAAGAGGGGTCCAACACCTGCTGGTTAAAAATGACAGAAAAATTACCAAACACGAGATCGGGTTCTTTGAAAAGGTCTACCAGAATTGTTGAGTATGAATGTAAATCTCTGGATTGAGTTCTTTCCAGTTTAGGTGGATCCAATCTGGCTAATGTAGCTCTTGCCATATTAGCTGCTTCGCGAAAGCCGCTTAAAAGTGCACCGTGCATAGTTGCAGGATATTTGCGAATGGTTGCCTCGCCTGCGAAGAAGAGCCTATCGTTCACGGACTCTGCCATTGTATCGTAGTCTTGGCCAGATGCTCCTACTGCCACGTTTGAGTAAGAGCCAAAACACAGACTATCACTCCCCCACCGTGTGCAAACAGTCTGCACGGGATTTGGCACTTTTATTCCCTTCGGTTCAAAAATACCTGCACCAAATACTTCAAGCCTTATTATTATGATAAATATGAACTGCAGAGCATGCTAAAACCAAAACTTAGAAGAGCCTTCGTGGATAGAAGAAAGCCACTCCCTAGAAAATGGTAACAATGTAGTAATGAACAGTATCCCATGCGTTATAATATCGCTGGTTCTGCAATCTCGACATTTAGAGCACACTGAGTTAAAAATATTGAAGTACCTCTGAGAATGGTCATAACACGAGTTACAGCTTCGATTGGGGGAGTGGCCTCGAAAGCAATGGCGGCCTCTCCAGCCACTAAAGCCACCAACAGTGGCCCCCCAGCCACTGCTGCATAGCTGTAAAACATGAAGTACTCACCACGCTTACGTGGATCTTCCTCTAAGTGCCCAAATGTGTCTAGGTGGCCATCCCAAAACACTTTTGGGAAAAGCATCACCACCTTGTTTAGAAGACCAAAGCCTAACCTTTGAATGGCATCTACCTTGTATGGAGGAAGTGGTGGATCAAAATTGATCATACCCTTTTTCAAAACACCCAATGGCACAGTACACAGCACCATTTCACCCTCAAAAGTCTCATCTGCAGTTTCAACTTTCACCCCACTATCTCCATAACGTATTCTTTTCACAGTTTTACCGTAGAGGATAGGCACATGCTCACAGAGGACCTCTATAAACTGCACATTGCCCCCAGGTAGAAAGCAGTGATCCCCTCCCATTTCATAGGGATCATCCTGATCCCAATCAGAAAGCGAGAGATTAGTGAGTAATTGTGCATTGGCATACTCAAGATTTGCAAAGTGCCAATCAAAAAGCTGCCTCTCAGCAGGAATAGTACCCATTCCGCAGTTATGACGTAAAAACTCCATGATATTTCCTAACGAAATCTCTGCAGACTTCGAATGATTTTCCTCTCGCCATTTGCTGCATGTGTCCAACAACTGATTGAACTGTGCTTCCACCTTCTTATCAATCTCATCAACAGCAGGCTGACCGTTGGGTTGGTAAATTGGACACAAGTCTTTGATTTTATGCATTGACCAGTTCATTTGACGAGCCAAAACACCTAAGGGGTTCCCGTGCATCCCTGTAACAACACTACCCCCTAAATCAGCTGCAGCATGTACGCTATCCACTTCCATCCTCTTAGTATATACTCTACCTCCAGGCCGCTGCCTACCTTCCAATACAATCACCTGGTGTCCTAAAGCCATCAAATGTCTGGCGGCACCAAGGCCTGCAAGTCCAGCTCCAACGATGACCACCTTGGCTTTGTTCCGTTCTGCCGGTAACCTAGCTTTAATAGCCGGAGCAACTCCAAAATTTATGTAACCATGGAATAAGAGAAATTTATAAGCCGAAGCAACGAGTTTACTGTGGGCACTTCGTATGTTTTCCATCACAGTCTCCTGCTCCAGCCACACGTTTGTATTCTCCCTCCAAGCAGCCAAAATGTGATTGCGTACAACAATGTAGTTTTCCTGCTCTTTCCCACCCACTACGTTCACTACATTTGCTGCAATTTCCTCTTCCGTAAGTGAGTCCCGAGGGAAACCAAGAGCAGCAGCAACCATGGCTTCTGTTTCAATTCCTCGAACCACACTGTCATATTTTCTTTTAGCCCCTTTTCTTGAAGAAGACCCCTCGATTTGTTCCTCCATTACTTTGTCCATGGCAGACTCATCGTACGTCGACACTTTAGAGTGCTGCCTAGAAGGCCTCTTGTTCCTCCTCCCTGCCTCTTGCTCTTCCACCTCGAAGTTCGTGGACGACTTCTGTCGCCGCTTCCGTTTTTGCTTTTCTGAAATCTCAACATTGATTGTCTTTGTTTCACGCACGCTGGAAATAACAGATTCTTGCACAGCATCATGTGTAAGAGCTGGTTCAGGCAACCTAACCCCTCCTGGGATTTCACTTACAGTTTCACTAGCTGTAACTAGACCAACATCACGTGCCTCATCTACGTCCACCACTTCAGGCTCTTGTGCGGCTATTACGATCTCTTTCGTATTTACACTGACAGCAAGTGTTGCTAACCCGATGTCAGTTCTTTCAAACGCTACCATCAACTTCGGCTCCTGTGGGGCTGAATTCTCCACTTCTTTATCAATGATCTCGGGTTTAAGGTCTCCTTCTCCATTCGTTTCATAAGTGGAATCTGTACCATTCTGACCACAAAAATTTGGTCCCCCATCCTTGCAAATCTGAGACAACGCATCGAGTTCACCATGATGATGCTTATTCATAAGCCCTAATTGTGGGAGGGGTGCAACGTTGGTGAGCAAAGCGTCAGGCTTTAGGATTAAATTTCCAGCTGCACTTTTCTCAGATTCAGGACCCAAATATTCAGATGCCATTGCTGATATTTACTAGTCTTCTGACAACCATGGATGTTTCATCATTCTTCAAAATAAAGTTAAACAGCGAAGCACCACCTCACGTAGATCAGACTGCTGCAACCCATTCGAATTTATCAAGCATGGAATTTACTCCCCAACTGCCACACTATCTAGACATTCCGAAGAGCCATTCATAACTTAGCCACGACCAATCCGCAACATCACGGACTCAATCTCACGTGCTTTTGATGTCCGTTGACTTCTCACATGTCTCGTTGGCTCAAGAACAGTTGCTACGGCATAGCCTGCTAACATACCACCACCATGGGTTGCTTTATATAGCAATCACTTTATCATGAAATGAGAGACAGACTACTAATACACGAGAAAAGAACTAAAAGCTACTTAAGCAGGACAAATTGAAATCAAATCTACAAAGGTCAAAAACCAGTGCGAAATACGAACATTTCATGTCAGGCAAGTTCCTGCAGATATTCCGAATACGGTATGCTACGTCCCTCATCAGCAGCAACTTCAAAAAAAGAAAAGATAAAAAGGAATAGAGACAAAGGTAGGGTTGCGCAAATAGCATAAGACTCTTCTGCTTACTACAGATCGACAAGGCCTACACAATAGTTCCAAGGCAACACATGTCTCATCAGGCAGCTTGAATACTCTCCTCAGCCACTTAGCCAACACCAAGAACGTTAAGACATTCTTCTGACTCCATGTATATACTATGGTCAAATCCCAAGCTGAAGCTAGAAACACAATTCGTAAGGCAAGGAGGACATAAACCAGCACACCACGTTCGTTTATGTCCCAAGTTGAAGGACTATAAAAAGAAGAATACAATGATATTGCAAACCAGAAGACAGTAAACGATGTCAACTTGACAAGAAATTTCAATGCTCTGGGTTATGACCAAGACCTCTTCGCTCAAAAAGGTTTATAATCAGGGCTAGTGGAAGATCAATAAACAATTTCCGTGTTCAAGTGTTCTTCGAGGATGATATTCAAGGCGCTGCGGACATTACCATGCAGCATTCAAAGTTCAGGAGGATAATCCGTTGCCTCGAAAGCAAGATGACAAAGCTCTCAAAAAATCCCTCACGAAACTCACCAGTCCCATTCAACCGAGGGCATTACCATTACTATTAATCCTAAACAATCCGACATATACACGCCAAACCACGGGAAATGTTTTTTTTAAAAAAGAAGGAAAAAAACGAAAAAAAGAAAAAAGAAAAAGTATAGCAACAATTTATTTGCATATTCGTATCCATATCAACACATTTCCAGAATGAGCCATTCCCTTAACCCTAAAAATATCGCAAAAAAAAGAATGACTCAGTACAAGAAAAGTCTCCTCCTATGTTCAAAGATACAAATTCAGAATAGAGAGGAAAAAAATATAAAATAAAATAAAATAAAATAAACGCACAGCACCTGCCACAGAGTGCTTCAAAGCAAGCGATACAAACACCGCAGAATCCTGGTCTTCAGCAAATCGAGAGAGCTCCCATCGCAAGCAGACCCTGACCTCACTAAATTACTACACCAAGGGGCTCTATCCGTGTGAGGCGTTGCAAATAAAGGGAATTGGAACAAGAAACTGTGGGAAGCTTGAGGAATCGCAGAACGGAGAATGGCTCATTGGATTCTCCTGGTTGGTTGCACGCGAAACGAAGGACAAGGCAAGGCAAGGGCACGGGAGCCGGGGGAGGGGAGGACAGTGGGAGGGGGAGGGGGGAGCTCTAGCTGCGGCAAGTGCGAGGGGCACCGAGAAACGCCCGCAGAGAGGACGACAGTTTTCGTCCGGAATCCGTCGTCGCCAGTTCCCTCACAAAACCCTCACACCAATTGCAGCAGCATTCTTAGTTTCATTATAATTATTTTTATTATTATTTCCTCTCTCCAGGCACACATATGGGGAAGCTTTCATTATTGCTGCCCCCTCTGCCCGCTGCCCGCCCCACATTATTGACTGTCTTTCGTTGTGGGAAAACTCTCGGTGCTTAGGAGTCCACATAGCGCCTCTTGCTTGTGAATGAAGGGCTTACTAAATTTGATATAAAAACTATAATATTAAATCTCTGTGTGAAAACCTAAACACCCTTTTTTCCATTCAAAAGGGAGTTAATTTCAGCCTTGTGGAGAAAAAGAAAGTACACACAAAGTATTAAAATACAAAATTTTATCGAGTTTTTAATAAGCCTTTAAGTGTGTTTTTTTTCCACATTCAATCACAGAAAATTGGAGACCCAGTTTGGGGTTTCGGGTTTTCTGTCTCTTGTCCTCTTCGCAAGCATTGGGTCCATGTGTTTCTAATCTGTTGTCTGTGATTTCAACCCGTCTGGTATCAGAATCCGCATCGTTGCAAACTGCTTCTCAGCATGTACCGAAGAAGAAACAAACAAGTAAGCTGTGACGTGTATGTGAAGAGGTTTGTAGTATTCCTTGTGAAAGTTGTTTGGTAGAAAACACGATCTCTGAACATGCTTTCTACTCATGTTCGCAGGGCTAAAGAGATTGTAGTGTTGCCACTTGTGGTCAGTGTTTTACGTTGCTAGCATCCTCATCTGCAAAGAACGATGTGCACTAATTAAGACCATCGCAACGTCCCTAGAACCAGAGCAATATCCTTCTCCCACGTCATTTGTCTTTGATTTTGTTTTAGTTAGTTTTTTTTTTTTTTGGTTTTTTGGTTTTTTATTGTTGTTGTTGCTAAATTCCGCTATTATCTGCTCTTTCTGCAAGAATCTAACTGACGCTTTACCATTTTCCATCTACAAGGGAGTAGAAACGGGTGGAGCTGAGTTGCTCCAGGAGAGAAACGAATCCTTATCTATTTTTTACACATCCCTAGGTCTAAGAAACCACACTCTCACAATTTCATCCCTTCTCGCCATATTCGCCTTTTCAAGTTTCTTTACGTTCGCTCATTCAACGAGGGACTTTGCTTTGGGTGTGGTGCGGTAGCTATTTCGTATATCAACTTGGTTAGTTTTTTCAGATTTGGATTCGAGGGCATTGGAACATCCGTCAAAAAGGTCTGAAGTGGAGAAGTTAAAGTTTTCAAGATGAACCACTTTAGGTTCGTTAAATTTTGCTCAAGACAGCATGGATGCTGATCAGTTCATTCACGATGGCGGCGGTGATGGAGGGATACTATTTAGATGAAATGAGGAAAGCCCAACACTAAAGCACTTCACATAACTATCATACATTACTATCAAACTCCAATGTTTCATCATGGCATGCTGTGGAGAAGGCATACTCTGGTGGACAAGTATGGCCCACCAAAATCCTGGATGTCTGCCCAAACTGAACAGCCCTGGCTGCTGACTTGCTCATGCCTAATATAGCTGATCAATAATCAGCTTACACGGTATTTCGTGTAAGTAACTGGACAACGGCAGACCTCGTATTTGTTATTTTCTTTGCTTCGATGCCTTACAAGAAGAGCACTGAGACTGAACACCACGGGGGTGGAGAGCTTGAATGAGTCGGTTATTAGAACCAGGAGTTGCCAGGGAAGAGATATGAATATCTGAAACGGTAACCAGCGTGGGAAGCCTCTTCGGGTCTAACCACATGCTTGCCATTCATCATGGGAACAGTGCACGCGCAACGAAAGGTTTTTCCATCAATGTTATGCTTCGATTAGCAGATTTCTGTCACTATTTCGAGGTAGCATTTGTGGAGAAGGACATTGTGGCTCTCTGCAAGCACAGAATCCCTTGTTTGACAATGATTCGACCTCTTTTGAAGACTGCCAAATGCATCTGTGTTTCTCCCTAGGAACAGTCGTCAGTGAATGGGTTGGCCGCTCTATTTTCATTGAATGAATTCTTCTTGGCATCTTTCTAGGGGTTCCAAGTTCTGTCGCAAGCGGTACCTCTTCATCCAACTGTTCACTTCATTCAATTGCAAGCCATTGTATATCTGTCATCGTCAGCAATGACATTGAGTCACTGTTTGAAAACGAGTCGAATTATTCTGGATTTTGTGTTTTCATTAAGTCGGATGCTTTTCTCCTAAATAAAAAATTATGATATCATTTCTACAGAAACATCAGTAAGGATCAATGAACTGAACTGTAGAAGAGGCTAAAAGCTGTGGTTTGCAACTTTGTGAACCACCATCCCACTAAGTCTTGAGACACTGTCAGGATGGTAAGGAGACTTGTTGCTCATAAAATGTCCTTAGAGTAGTTACTGACCAATGAGAAACCATTTCTCTACGCCTCTCCGAAATGGAAGGAAGGAGAAAAAGGATTTGGATACCTGAGAAACTTTATGGACTTGAGAGATCGACGTCTTTCAGCATTCGAGTTCAGCATTGCAATCGGTTCTTCAAGGGACCTTATCCCAATCTGTTCCTTTGATGTGGTTGTTTGAGGGCGAGGAACACAACATGATAATTGTATTTTAAATTATAACCTGAAAATCATCTGACTATCAAGTTTCAAGAGTAAAGATCTTGATTAATAGCTGTTTGGTTTAGACTTGTCACAGCGTCTTGCAAAATCGATTTCTTAATCTACAGGTTGAATGTGCAGCTTAACATACTTAGTCAAACTTAGGAGTCGTATGATATGAGTAACTTATTCTATATTTCGAGAGATATCAGTAGGTGGCATGATTGATGTAAGTAGAAAGCAAGCAATTAGCGTTTTCACTTCAACCCCGAATACATAGAACAAGTGTATACAACCTCAATAAAAGAACAAGTCTGCGGACTTTATGCGAGGCAGAGGTGAACACATTAGAGAATTGACACTTTGCTAATCAAAGCGTACATTGCGTACAGGAAGCATTCCTGAAGCGAATTTAATTCTACAAGAGTTTCCATCCGCCTGTAGCACCCCTTCAAACGGACGATGGAAGGGGTTAATAATAATAACATCGGCCTCACAAAGTACAATGTGATGAATGAACTGTTGATATGTTTATTCAACTTGTCTCTCCCTTGCTCATTCTTCACCTGTTTATCCACTCTCGCGACCTTCCTCCAAATTCGTCAAGATCAATGAAAATGCTCACAGCCTGTGAAAAATGAAAGTTTAGTCTCTCATTGCAACTTAACAAAGCCATGATGGCTTCTGCGACATTGCTGACCAATAGCTACATGGACTTTCTTGGAGTATTTCATTAGCACCAAAAAATAATGCCTCGAGTATTTTTGATAACTAGGGCACATGAACTAAGTTTTTATATCTGATCTCATGAAAGGCCATAAAAAAACTTCGGTCAAGTCTTTGTCGTGTCGAACAAGATCAACTGCCTAGCATGCATAAAGAAATGATCTAAAGTGAAAATGGAGGCGACTCAATACCTTGCCAATACGTGGTCGTTCTTTGGTCTTCTCAAGGCCGTTGCGCACAAGACCAACAGCACCCCAGCATCTCAGATTGTTGGCAATATCATCTAGGTGTAGTAGGTATTCCTCCTCTGTTAAAGGAAAGGAACGCTGATGCCAAAAAAGACAAGTGAATATTTTTCCGAAAGTTTTAATGCTGATTTAACACCACAGCTCTACTACCCGTGCACATATCACGAGTCCTATAATCTAGAAACAGCTAACGGCTGTCTGGGGGCATATTTATCAAATATTGCTACTAGATTGAAATGATCTGAAATGCATAATCGTATTTCCACTCACAGTAAAACCTACGCTGAGCAGGCATTAAGCACAGATGCCACAATACTACGACTCAAGGAGAGTTAAATTGATACAGAACGCACTACAAATGGATGTTCATTACCTGCTCACGATACTTCCACATCACATTCATAGCTAAGAGCTGGCGTCCCATAAATTCCTGCATAGTAATCAGTAACTGAGTATCAGGTCTTTAGGTAGAACAGTTTTGAGAGTGATCAAACTTTACATTGAAGCATTTCACAACTACGTAACAACGGGTAAGGGATGTACTCACTTTCTTAATAAATTGCACGTCATAAGATCTCCCGTATTTCTTCCTTATAAGTGTAGCCAAATCTATTCCTCGAAAAGAAACATCGGCATTATCTCTGTTTACCATTCGTTCCATTTGCTGCCGGAAAGCGTCTGAGCTTATCTGAAAACATTAACATCACGAGTGAAAGCTAGCTGAGTGTAAACAGCTGATACAGCCCTGTGCAGGAAATAAAGCTGTGGGAAACTACAGAGGTCACGTTTAAACGAGAGCAGATCACGATTCTAATATATTAACAAGGAGATTTGTATGATTGATTTAACTGAGCATCATTGTAACCAGCCATCAAATAAGAGCAAGCATATATGGTGAGTTAATCTTAAGAATAAAGTGTGGAAATTACGCTATTTGAGTCATTGATTGAGCTTCTGGGTTCGTCCTCCGAGTCGTTCTCATCCTTAGGAGCTTTACTTCCAAAAAGTGCCTGGCAAGAAAGAGGACCTTTCTTTCCTTCCTGACTCTGCCAACCCCGAACATGACTGTGTCGTGACAATTTCCCTGATCCTAACCAGGCATTCAATAATACATTCTTTTTAGCAGATCTCTTTTGATGTTCATTGTTGCAATGTCCGAACACTTCAGACCTGTAGGAAGTAATCGAGAGTTTCGAAGGCACAGACAAGGAAGATGCCATGTGTTTTAACGCCCCGTCAACAGACGGACCACCTGCCATACACGCGAAGGCCATGAGTTTCATCCCCAGATGGAACTCTCACTTGCGCGACAATACCAAAACACTGTTGAGACTTATCCCAAAATTGAACAACAACCTGCAACTGCCTACATCAGATCTAGCAGTAATTACAATCTTCGCCATTCCTAATTGAATTGCCACCAACCAATAGAGCTAACCATCCGAGAAACAATGTGCTAAATATAATGACAATAAATAAAAGAAAGGAATACAACACGAGAAGTCTGAATTCGCTGTGAATTCCATCTCGACCATGAAATACAGACAAGATCAAAATCTCGTTCCCCTATTGACACTACGCTTTGATTTGAATATTAAGTTCGCGCACCGAAGTGATCATCAGAATCTACAGTGCAGTGCAAAACCGTTGCGCCACCCAACTTCGAGACTAACAAAAAAAAACAAAAACAAAAAAACTACAGAAGCTCAAAGCACTGGTTCTCAACGTTCTTGCACTCTATTAACAGCAGATCAACTTAATAAAAGTATAGTAATCTACATGAGCCATCACGAATTTGGCTACACTCGTAGACTCCACTCTAATATTCCTACAAAATATTGATGCTCATCGTCCTTCCTCCTCACTGTACCTCTTCAATGGCTATCACTTCTTAAACAGGAAGAATTTAAACCAGAACTCTAGCGGACAAAAATATGTCAAAATTAGGATATAAGGCAACAATCTGCAAGTCTAAATCCCGCAATTGTTCAAGTTGAGATTCACACGCCATACGAGCTACTCATTCCCAATTACGCAATCAGAATTGATATTGACCATCACTTTTCATATCAAGTACTACACATATTTGTAAACACGCTCGACATAATTCTCCAGTTCCCAGAGCTACGACTCACATCAAAATCATGCGGAATCCTACGATAGAATCGCAAATCAAATCGCCACGTCAATTCGCCCAAAAAAAAAGAGTCCTACACTTCCAAATTCTCACAATCAAGTCCCAAACACAGGTGTGTTCACAAACCAAAGTCACGTGAGCCTCACCTTGAGACTTAGCAAAGAATTCCAAGGGGCAATGTCACCGCGCTACTACTCCAAGAGAAGTATTTCCTCAGAGTGAAGCAGCGACGATGACGGAGCAGAAGAAGATGGACTTATCGCTTAGGGTTGGGATAAATGAGCAAGCCCAGCGACGCTGGGAGGCGTGGGCAGTCTGCTTCCTCAGAGCGGCAGAGGCTAGAGGCCAGGGTTCGTTTGCAAAAGCATGCCCTTCGATTGGGCTGGCTCAGGAAATCCTGTGTGAGATCGATCCGTCGGTGTTCCAGCCTCAACCTGATGACGGCATCGCGTGGGATTTGGGCTCATTGCAGCCGCGAGACGAGATTGGCGCGTCCCAGTCTCTCGTTGACGCAACCATGAAATCAATCCTACACTCGGCGTGGAGCCTGCATCGTGGTTGGGATTCGCAAATATCACATTCGCTTTTGCGAGGAAGGATTCTTCGTTGCGAGCGTGGTTGAGGATTTATTAAGTCCATCCTTCCCACCCGTCAAATTTTCCTTTTCAGGTCCAGATCCTCGTGACAATTGTTTTGTCATCGTCGCTCAGGCCCCTCAAAAACTAGGTTGGTGAGAATGACATGGTCGAATGTACGTTCCTTGTACTCGATGAATGAATGATATGAATGGATGATATATACGGATGAAGCCAGATTTCATTCTTTATCCCACGCTTGTCGATCGCAGTATTTTAACACGTCATGTAGTTATAATTAGGAAGTTGTTATCTATATTGGACTAAGAGATAAAAAATATATTAACAGCTTCTTTCTTTGTGTCACACAAGACGTAAATGGTTGTTTTATTTACTTATTTTGATGAAGTTTAAGAAAATTAACATGGAAGTAAATAAATAAAAACTTGTGTTTCAAAATATGCTTCAAAATTTTGAGAATGTAAACGGATTGCAAAAGATATAGTTTTGAATTTGTTTGTGAATGTTTAAGCAATGCCATAAAATCTATGTATTTTTTTTAATAATAAAATGTTGTGATGATAATAATGAAAACTTCAGCCATATTTCTATGTATGTTACATGCAAGTTCATCTGTTATGAGTACTTTTTTCCCTGAAAAGCCAGAACATAAAAACACGAAACAAGAGCGAAAATTAATTGTGTAAATATAAAATTTAAAGGCTTAAGTTAACTCTCGTTGTTTCATACTTATTAGCGTGATAATATCACCAATGGTCAGTGCATTATTTGGATGGATTTTTATGATGATTTTATTTTTATCTCTTCTAAAATATTGGCCAAATTTCTTTCCACATGCCCATTATTAATATTATAACCTTGTCAATATTGAAAATATTTTAACTTTCTCTAAATTAAGTATTTTATTGTAAAGTCAAATACCTTAACATCAATTTTCAAGGAAGAGAACAATATTTATCTTCTTTTGCAATTATTTTCTGTGTGTTTTTTTCGACAAAGTTAAAATTCAACCATAGAAAACCGACTTAGTATCATAAATGTTGGTGAATTTATGTATCAGGTCATGTGTTTTACTTGTTTTACAATAGTATGTAGATCCAACTTTGGATAGTTTAACTAATTGTAACACAGAAAAAGAGATGAAATCAGTAGATAATATCTTTACGTTGTTTTTTGAACTTCTTTTATATGTTTTTGTATAAATTTTTGTCACTAAAATAATTCGTTTATATATATCTTTGGTTAATTTAGTGACTTTTGTGTTCTATTGGGTATCTAGTTTAAATCAATGATTGCGACAAGAATAAAGAAAGGTGTACTTCGGCTAAAACGTTGGTGATTTTTACTTATTTAAAAATAATGATTAATATATTAGTGAATATATATATATATATATATATATATTTCTTTGTGTGTTTCATGCTATATACCATAATCACTAAAGATCTAGTTATTATCCAAAATAAAATTAATTAAAAAAAAATCAATAGTTTATTTTTGCAGATGTTTGGATTTGTGTGAACTTTCACATCGGAGCCTTTGCTGAAATCGACCCGGGCCTTTCCACGTCGACAAATGCCGTCCACTCGGACGAAGTCGTCGTTTCAGCCGTCAAGAGCACGACGAAGGGACGAAACCCGGACGAGATACGGACGAGAGGCGGACGAAGTTTTCGGCGATTGGATTTCGTCGCGCAAGTGTTTCTTAGACCCTTTGTCAAATTCAGTCGCGGTTGTTTGGCGGAGTCCCATTCTGAGAGCACCGAACTCGACGCGATGGGTGCCTTCGGGGACGCAATAGCTTCGATCAAGGCAACGAACTTCAGACACATCGCATTGCAGGCAATCAGCCTAGGTAAGACTCGAAGCTCAGTGTCTGTGGCGGGGAGATTTTGCTGCTCTACGACATTTGATATTATAGACCTAGGTGTGGGCAGCTGTTAGTGTGTAACGATCGGTAGCGCAGGACGTGAATTTGTTTCCATGATTTTTGGGTTGCGCATGTTGGATTTCTGCTGCATGTTCTGGGATGACGCGCAATTTGAAGTCAGAAGTGTATTTTAGGGGGGTTCAAATTTGGTTTATCATGTTTTGCTTTTTGCTTACTGTCTGGTTTCAGAGTAACGCTATCGTATTGCTATTTGAATCTAGTTATTGCTGAATCCGTTCTGCTCGATACTTTATTTGATGGTCTGAGAGATCGGGAAACGGACTTGGTAGTATGTCGGTATTAATGAGCTTGCAACGTGGTTTCGACTTTCAGGAATGATTGTGACGTCAGCTTTGATCATATGGAAAGGGTTGATGTGCCTCACGGGGAGTGAATCTCCTGTCGTCGTTGTGCTCTCAGGCAGCATGGAGCCTGGTTTTAGAAGGGTATGCTCTAAGTCTCTTCTTTGTTTGCTGGATTGAAACTCTTACTCAATCAGCCGCCTTTTGCCATCAGTGAGTAATCGTATTGGACAACGCATACCTTAGGTTAACGACAAGTGATTTTTCGGGCGGTTCGTCGAACATCGTTTTTATTTTGGACATCGAACAGATCAGATAGGTTGTAGATGGTAGAACTTACGAATTTTCGATAATTCTTTTGAACTCTAGCCATGTAGGAATGTTGAGAAATGGTCTCAAAATCCTAGTGCTGCAATCGTCTTCCGCAAGTCTCTCTATTTATGATGGTCAGAAGTATTACACGTATTGTTCTCTGCTATGTTCCTTCTTAGAAATGTCTCCAGATATTGAACTTACAGCTTGATGTTTGGGGTGATAGGGGGATATACTCTTCCTTCACATGGGTAAAGCTCCAATCCGAGCTGGAGAAATTGTTGTCTTCCACGTCGAAGTAAGTTTACAACCGATAGTCTTTGTGGCACGATGAAACGCGTAGCACGGTTTTGCTTAGGGATCGTGATAGCTCATGAGTTCCACTGTTTTTCTCGTGTAACTGAATTTTACTCCTTATTGAATTGCTTTTAGGGTGTGAGCTGCTTGGAGAAGCTGGATATAGGATATTTGTTTCAATCGTCTTATTGCCGTTGTAGCGTTGTTTTTATCAGATGTAGTATGTACAAAGTTAGACAGTCATCAACCCAGAAATATTTTTTAACGTCTGTTGTGTACATTTTTGCAGGGGCGGAATATACCTATTGTACATAGAGTTATTAAGGTGGGTGTGTTTTGGTTCTTTGGTTAATTTGCGTAAGTTTACACAAATGTGTTCTGATGTGAAAAGAGCTGGCGGAGGAGGCATGCTTTGCACAAATTGACGTCATGCTTGTTTGGTTGTTATTTGTAAATGCTATCACTTTCTTTTGGTTGCACCAAATAATCAACGCTTCGTGTTTGCATTCTGGTTCAATCATATCGATGAATGTAGAGAACGTACTTCGCCTGGATTCAACCGGTAATACATTCAAGTATGAGTATGTGCTGAAACTTTATTGAGGTCAGCACTTTATTTGAATCGTGTTTAACTGAGTCTGCTACGTTGTGGCAGGTTCATGAGAACGTTGAAAAGGGAGATTATGAGGTTCTTACGAAAGGTACGATTCACAACCTGGTCGAGGACTACCTTTTATTGTTGCAGGTTCGAATGAGATGCATTTAGGTTTATTTGGTAACCAAAGTGATATGATGTCCTTAATCCACATTCAATTTGTGTGAATTCTTCAGGGGACAACAATACTGGTGATGATCGTCTTCTTTATGCGGAAAACCAGATGTGGCTACAACGACAGCATATTATGGGACGAGCAGTTGGGTGAGTGATCGAGCTATGCATTGCATCATTGGGATACATTGTGACTGGCAAAGTTTTATACTATTATTTATTTGTCTATTTCAATGTTTATTCAAAAACTAGAGTTGGGAACCTTTTTTCCTGCAGATTTTTACCGTATATTGGGTGGGTTACCATCATTATGACAGAGAAGCCCTACATCAAGGTTAGTTTGTGTGTTTTTTTTCCTGCTCGTGGCATTTTCGGTTGAGAACAACGTGCTGTCCTTCATTAGGCTTGTATGTCTAGAAGTCACCAAGAGAAATGAGTTCATGTGGTGGAGCTGAACCCTTGGTGGGTATGTTCCGAAGTAGCAGACAAGTTAGTTGATTCATTGGAACTGAGGCTTGGTTTTTCAATGAACTAATGGTGCTGGCTTTGTTTCTTTGTGTGCAGTACCTTTTGATTGGAGTTCTTGGCTTGTTAGTAATAACTTCAAAAGATTAGTGTTTCTGTCTTCAGATACATATATATATTTTTTTAGAGATACGAGAGCTCCACATTCTTTGATGTGGTTGTTTCCATCTTAGTCCTTCTCAATCTCTGAGGTGACTCTTGTAAACTGCTACCTTAGAAGTAAACAAACTCATCAACTCATTGCTCTCTAAAAATATGGTGGAGAGCTTTGTTGTAGTATGTATGACTTGTTCTCTAAAGCCGATAGCCTGAAATCGCTGCAACTGTGGATCCTAATAGTTGAAGTTAGATATTGCAGTACTACTCCCGTGCCGTGGTAGTTGAGCATTGTATCTAAATTCAGATTGGTGTTCCCTGTTTACACTGGTGTTTATTGTCCGACCCTCTTTGGATTATTGGCCATGGTCTTTCAGATAATTGAAATTGTTACGCTTGTGGACTGCCTAAAAGAGGTGGGAGCTTGAAACTTAGGGGAATGGAAGGTCGCTAGCTGTTTGCTGAAATGGGATGAAATCAGAAGCAGAGGGCATTCATGTAGACTTATTACCCTGCAAAAATTTCCTATTGTTGAATTGTTGTCTGTGCATCAAAGTGGTGCGCTAAATGATTGACTTTCTGCATGTTGTAACTACATATCTCAAATTTGAAGCTCCATACATCAGCGTAGATGCCATTGAGGTAATGAGTAGATAGCAAATATTGCAGAACATATTAGTAATTCTCACACCCTTACAATTTCAGTATCCCCTTACAATACTACGAGACCCCACCACCATTGACATGACATCTAATTCTAGCAGTGCTTGCATTTGTTTAGCAACCGAAGAAACGAGTTTAAGATTCAGGGTTTAGGGTTTTAGACCTTGTCGCCATTGCATTAGGGAGTGACACCCTGAGTGTGCCTCAGGACAGGCCATCTGCGAAGCATGGCGCCTGCCCAGTGTAAGATTGCAGCATCATCTGCGTTGGAGATTGTAAGAAAAGCGTGCTTAGGTAAACATTCAACACATTCAAACGGCTATGGTGCAGTTCTGTGATTTGGGGGAATTCGAGGATTGAGCGCAGGCGAAGCTGTTTCGTACATATTCTGTGCTCATTATCTACGCCCTCAAACCGACCTCCGAACAAGCACCCCACACATCTGACACGCGAATCAAGCATACATTGCCTCGGACTGTTGAAGCAAACGAGACCACTCTGCGACAAGGGTAGCGCTTTTTGCATAAGCTACGAAATATGGAAATGAAGATGGTGAAGTTCGAAGATGATTCGTTAGAATTTTGCAATGTTCCTGTCGCGGCGTGGCTGAAGGGAAATTCACTAGCAGATCCAATAATTTTGAGTTCCAAAATGCGCAGAAGTAGAGCATGATAACGTCTAGAATCCCTCAAACCCTAAATGAGAACATCTTAAACGCAAGATTCGTACGCAGCTAAATGAAAAGCATACAGGGAGTATCCATTTCAGAAGCAATCTCGAACACCGGAACATTGACTCAAGGGTTCAATTGCGTGCGATACCAGCTATTTTCTAGTATTTGATTCATTACATTCCATATTTACAAGTGATTGTCGTGGAAAGTCACAAACCCACAACCTTCAAGACAAGATTCTCCGTCATACTCCCAACCTTCCTCTCAGAGCATAAGGAAAATGTGCAACCCACCAATGTCATACTCAGAAGAACAGAGTATCAATCTTGCTGTCCGCGACTATACTCCGAATCAAAAGGTCCTCTTGATGGGTGGTGATGGTACAGTCGCTTCTGGGGTACGCCACGCACGTCAAGCAAAACCCCTTTCCGAGCTGTTGCTTGTCTAAAAAATTGCCGGCGGATTGGTCGACCTGCCCCAACTCCAGCACACCAGCGCATTCAGGGCAGCCACCGTTGCGGCACATGGAGGAGTAAGGCATGTCAATGGCTGCCTCTTCGGCGGCGTCCAAGATGGTAACACCGTCGTCGACTTCCAATGTGTGTATCACCGTAGGAGTCCTAAGCGTGACTTTGTAGGAAGCCATGCAAGTGACACGGCCCAGGCCCCATCTGCTCGACTTAGAGGCGTGTACGATGAACACGGACGAGAGGCGCGCACGGAAACCTACAGCGGTAGTTGCCAGAGGCACAAGAGCGGTACTCAAAGCTGCCCCAACGGTGGCCATTACTGGAATCTGGGTGGGTGAGAACAGGAAAGAGCTTCCGAGACGGAGACACAGCGAAGCGGGCCTGGCAGCGGTGCGGGTGCTCAAGGATTTGATACTCTAATCCTTGCGCAAACACGACACCTTCCCTGCCACCTTGCGACAACAACTCTTTCGTTTGCTGTGTACTATTTCAGATTTCTGTTGTGTACAGCGCGTGACGGTCGTGGATTTCACACCTTACAAGCCGGAATACACGACACAAAACCTGTTGTGCATATTAAAATATTAACATACCCTCGGCAAACCTGTTGATCATTGAAGCGTAGAGTACAGAAGTGGATTTTGAAGCATCAGTAAGCGTCAGGCAAGTAGAAAAAGTGAGCGCCAAAAGGTTGGAAAACCAATTAGGGGTTTAGGGCGAAACTTGACATACTCGTGTGGATGTTTGGAGTTGGGTAGGAGAATGTGACTAAGCAGCAAAGGATATGGTTGGATAGGGGTATCACAACAGGAGTCTTGGTGACCTAGTTGGAGAGCAAATTGTCACCATCTGCTACATGAATTGAGCATGGTGTGTTTTTGGCACTACAATTAAGTATAGTCGTGAGTGTTGATTGGGTAAAGTTAATATATATATATATATATATATATATATATATTCTAGTTTGGTACATTTCTTTGCAAAGAATTTGTTGGTAAATAATATTTTATTTGAGTTTAATTTTGGTTTTTTTGGTTTTTTTGTTATATACAGGTATATATAAATATTTAATTTTTAAAATCATGTTTGCATATAATTTCTAACTATTGTATGCAAACATGATTAAAAATACCAAAAAATTCTATGTTCATAGTAAGAAGTAAGTCTATATATGTTTAGAGAGAAGAATATTAAATATTACTGGTTTTATTGGTTTTATTAACTCTTATGTATTGGAAGCAATACATAATGCAACAAAGTGGAATATTTGTAACAAATCAAAGAAGCTTGATCACCTTACTATTCCACATACAAAAATTGTAAAACTTTCTTCTCTTTTCTTTTTGATTGTTGAATTCAACTATATACCTAATACCACATTTTGAAATTGGATGCAATAAGTTTAATATGGATAATTATATGACAAATGCATGTATATGTACATGTAAGAATATATCATGGTAGAATACAACATAAAACAATTTTAGTTTGTGAGAAGACATCTAAGAAGATGTGATTTCTAACTATTTGTAGTTCATCACAATCAACACATTTGTTTTATTACCACTTTATCCACAACTATGTCAAGTTTGATTATTCTAATATATATAAAATAGTCAAAGATGTAAGAGTGCCAAATTTATTTGGCAATGATTTAAAGTTTTAACAATTTCATATATTTAAAGCAATCAAAGATGAAAGATTGTTGAATTTATTTGGCAAACATGTCAAATAAAAAGAATACTTTTTATTTAGATTTGTCAAGAATGCAAGGCTATTAGGTTCATTCGTCAATGATGTCAAGTTTGAGGTTGCTAAATTTATTTTGCAATGATGTCAAGCTTGTGCATCCATCTGTATTTTAGGTAGTCAAAGATATCAAATTATTCAAATCATTTGGTAATAAATTCAAGCTTGAATATATATATATATATATATATATATATATATATATATATATATAATTAGAGTAATAAAATATTTAAAGTTATCAAATTTTTTTGGCAATGATATTAAGCTTAAGTATCCTAACATATTTGAAGTAGTCTAAGTTATGAGATTATTCAATTTTATTTAGAAATAATGTCAAACTCGAATACCTTGATGTATTTGAAGTAATAAATATGTGAGGTTGCATATTTTTATTTGGCATTGATGTCAAGCTTGAACAACTATACAAATAAAAAATAATCAAAGATAAAAGATTATCCAATTCATTTCGTAATAATATCAAACTTGAGAAAAATGAGTTGTATAAGATAGTCAAAGATGACAAGTTGCTATATTTCTTTAGCAATAATATCAAGCTTGAGCACTTATACTTATTTGATATAGACAAAGAAATATGATGATCTAATTCATTTGACAATAATATCATATTTAAGCATTCTATTAAATTTAAAGTAATCAAAGATAAGAGTTTATTCAATTCAATTTGTGATGTTGTCAATTTTGAATATCCTTATATATTTAAGATAAACAAAGGTATGAGGTTTTAAAATTTATTTGGCAATAATATCGAGCTATTGTAAAATATCATATCTTATGTAATTAAAGATGTGAAGTTGTTTAATGTTTTAGTAATAATCTCAAGTTAAAGCTCCTCTCATGCCTAGAATAATAAAAAGTATAAAATCTTCTAATAGAATTGGTAACAATGTGAAGTTAAAGCCCCTATCATATCTAAAGTAGTAAAAGATTTAAGGTCTTTCAATGCATTTGGCAATAAAATCAAATTTAAACAACTTTCTACTTCTAAAGTAAAAAAGTTGTCAAATTCATTTAAGAACAATATCAAGCTTCAACACCATTGTAATTTTGAAGTAGTTAAAGATGTAAGATTGTCAAATTTATTTGATATAGATGTCAAGTTTTAATTATCTTTTAAATCTAAAGTAATCAAAGATAGAAGGTTGTCTAATTCATTTGGCAATGATATCAATTTTAACAACCATTCTATTTTTAAAGTAGTCAAAGACCAAAGTTACATAATTCTTTTTATAATAATGTCCAATTTAGAGTACCTTGACATATTTGAAGTAATCAAAGATGTGAGGTTGTCCAATTTATTTGATAATGATGTTAAGCTTGAATACCTCCATATACTTAAATTAGTTAAAAATTTAAAATTGGTCATTTCATTTGACAATGATTTAAAGCTTGATCATCTTATTATATCTAAAGTAGTGAAAGACAAAAAGTTACTTAATTCTATTAGTAATAATGTCAAATTTGAGAATCTTACTAAAAATAAAACAGTCAAGATGTGAGATTATTCAATCCATTTAACAATATTTTTAAGCTTAAATACCTTAACATATCTAAAGTAATCATGAATATGAGGTTTTTAAATTCATTTGATATTGATTTTAAACAATATCTATAAGAAATATAAATCTTTAAAGAAATAAGTCCACTTATTAATTTTAGTAATATTCTTAAATTATAAAAATTTTCTAAATTAAATAATTTTAATAAAGCCAAATATTCTATTTTTTTTAGTTGTATGAAATTTAAACATCTTTTTAAATTGAATTAATATAGTGTATTCATTTCAAACACTGATATTAGTAATTTTTTTTATAAAATTACAAGTTCTCAATTGCAAGATATCTTATATAAAATCTCAATATTTCAAAATTTTCAACTTTTTTTATACATGCTTATCAATTACCTTATCTAATACTTTGTTTTATTTTTTATTGAAATTTTTGTATAGAAATATAAATAAAAAAAATTTCAATTCAAATAAAAATCTTATAAATATAATAAATGTGCACAATCTTTTCTATAATCTTTTGAATAAAAACCAACAATATTATAGCTAAAAAAAAGTATTGAAAATGAAGTAATACATTCTTTTTGTAATTTAGTACATCATATCAATAAGAAAAATGTAAGATAATTATCTATTTTCTTCCAATATCTTGTTTAAACTAATTTTTACCAATTCCATATTACAATAAAAATATTTTCTTTTCTTCTTAACTACATAACATTCAACAATTTGAATTAATTTTTATTGAAAAATAATATGTTATTAAATTATGATAGTTTAGATGTACTAGAATGCTTATTTTTTTGATAAATGATATATCAAGTTTCACATCCATCTTTATTATTGTAAATAGAAGTTTCAATTACTTGGATTTATAGATTTTCTATTATATATTTTATTTAAAAATAACATAATTATTAGATATTTTATGTTTAATAATATTTTTAAATCATCTAATTTTCTACTTTTTATAAGATATAAGTCTTTTAATATTTGTAATAGATGGTTTGTTAATTTAAAATTTTGAGAATACTCTCATTCTTTTGCAAGGTTTAATTTTTCAAGAAGATATCTATCATCACCTTTTACTTGATTGTTGGTTGCAATAACAAAACTAAAAATCATGTTGACTTTGTTGAAAATGTTTTAAAGAGATATAAGAGTAGCTAGAAGTAATGCGCACATACACTCACAAGACAATATATAGAAGGAGAAAGAGATTCTAAACAAAACTATGTATTAATGTGGTTGTTTTACTTGTATACAAAGAAAAAGAGAGAAAATAATTAGTTTCTTTTTACTACTGAAACATGACCAATCTATCTCAAGAGTCTAATATCCTTTTAATCCACAGCAATATAAATCTCATCACAAAATAGGACAAAATGGACTAGAATAAAACTGAATAGAATTAAATAGAATAGGACAAAAAAGACAAAATTGAGCAAATGAAAATAAAATAGAATAGAAATGAATAAAAAGATACTGAATATGAAGATGCAAATCCAAAATTTATTAAGAGAAAATATCCAAAGCTATACTTGACTAGATGTCCAAAAGGCCTTAGCCATTCCTATTTATACTTTGTCCAACCATCTTGGAACTTTCTAGAATGTTTCTATTGATGGATTCTACTTAGATAACCACCCTAAACTCTTTTTAGAAGGTTCCATGGTAGATTTTATATAGATAACTACCTTAAGCTATTTTTAGAATATTTTATGCTGAGTTCTATTTACATAACTACTCTAAATTCTTTTTAGAATGTTTTATGGTGGATCTTATATAATCCAATAATTTAGTCCCAATTTTAAAAACTTCTATAAACTTCTCAAATATGGTTCCAATTATCTATTTCTATGTATCAATAATATAAATATCTTATTTATACCTTGTTACACTTAATCCACTTCTATTAATGTAAAACGTTGTTATGTAGTAACATGACTACATGGAGAAAAATAAAAAAATGGATGTTATAAAAGAGCCTAGTAAAAAGATGTGATAGAAAGACAAGGATAAATGATAGGAAGGTAATAAAAAGTTTAATTTTAATGCTATTTTTTAGAGAAAGGGCTTCTATTTGCTTTGTAGGGGCATAAATACCTCAAATAAAAATAAATGACACAAGTAATTGATATAAATATGTTTAGAAAGAAGTTACTAATAGGTTCAAGAAAAAATTACATCAAATTACTAAATATTGATATCCAGAGAGAATTGGTTGTCAACTTGGGCCAAAATCAGACCCCAAGGCACAAATCCATTGTTGTGATATAATACAATTAATAGGTGAAAAGGATAAAGAAATTATTATATTATAGAAGATCTTAATTCAAGTATTATAGCAAATTATCTTAGAAAATAGATAATATTCCAAAAAAAAGTAAAATTAAAGATGTAAATGCTACCTTTTTACATAGTAG